GGCTGCGAATTATATCCTGGAAGTATATTAATATGCTGATTTTGGATTTACTAATTTGAATAAATCTAATCGCAAAATTTACGGAGTCCTTTCTTATATTACTCCAGAAGTGATAAATAGCAAGCCATACACTAAAGCTGCAGATATTTATAGCTTTAAGGTGATTATGAACCAGATTGTGACTGATGAACGGCCATTGGTGAATAGAATCATGATAATCGACATCCATATAGGAATACAAAATAACGTGCAAATTTATTATGGAAAAACGTCGGGATCCTATTCCAGAAAAGACCAACTGCAGAGGAAATTTTGAACTTTATCTCCTCTATCTACGATATTGACGAGTGGAAACTGAATATTTTGTATTTCAGTACTACAGCTATGGATGTTAAAATGCTCATAAAAAGTCGGTTTTTGAGTTTGCTTTGGCTGAGCTGCTCCAAACCGATCCAAATAGTCACATGATCAACAAAAACCTAACCTATATCAATCAAGTTAATAATAAGCGACGTCACGAAGATAGTGGCAAGAGGAAGATAGATAACTATAAACATGTAAAATAGCTAAGCTTAGGGATAGTTCTCGCTAAATGATTCTTGTAAGTAGTCGCTTCTTTGTCATTTTTTTATCGATCATCTTACGAAAAGAGAGATATAAACTACGTAATAGATCTCAGCGACTCTATAACTAACGATCCTAAAACACTACTCATCAATACATTCTAATTTAGAGAATTTAATGATCCTAAATAAAGAGAATGGGAAATTGAATCAACCGATGACTCAAAACTTCGGACGAAATAATAACTGAAAAATATTCGTGCTCACCTGATTATACAATGTATTACCTAATTCGGGGTTCACTTGATAACAATGTATTTGATTGACCCGAGCCTTTTAAGAACACTGAACAAAAGGATATTATTTCATTTAAATAAAAATAATCTATTAGCAAAAATGATTAACAAAAATGGAGAATTTAATTTTTAAAAAGCCACTTGTTTTTTCCTATTTATTCATTCGTATATCTCTCATCCTAATACGTTAATTTCGATTCCTTTACAAATTCTTATCCATTTAGCAATTCTTTTACCGAGGCTGAAGATACTTAAACTTATTTTGAAAGCGATCATTCTACAAAAGAAAAACCATCAAGAAAAAAACGAAAACTTGCACCTGTTAATAAGAAACGGGAATTCTAAATAATACATATATCACATGTGTATCAGGTGATTTGACTCAAAGCCGAGTCTGATTAAGACTCGACTCCTGAAACCAAGCAGAACCAAGTCGAACTTTTAACATCCCTAACTACAGCTCTTTAGAATATCCTAAAATATATGAAGAAATCAAAGAGTGTCTTAAACTAAAGGCAGAATGGGAAAAGTGAGATGAAATTGCAAAAAAATATAAAAACATCATCCAAGTACAGTAGAACTGTACGTACTTTAACTCGATGCACTTCATTTGATGAAAAATTAAAAGGAAAAAAATTCGGGTAAATAAATTATATGCATTAAACATTTTTTATTTTATTATAGCATTTGTAGAGTTTTGAAAATTTTTATGACTGAAAACCACCCGTTTCGTGAAATTAGTACCGGCACATGTGCTATATCGATATCGATATAAAATTGACTAATTCCTACCAGACAGTGGGAAATTACCTTAACCAATAGGGTAACCGCATTAAGTTAGAACCTTTTCGTTTTTGAATATACTTGTATAAATTATTTTTAGTATTTTATTAACGAATATGAAGCAAGATCTATTTATGATAAATTGTTTTATCATGATTATTCGTGAAGTATTCACTGGATTATTCACGAATAATTCACACAAAATTCGTGATGTCAAACTAATCTGTATATTAGCCATTCACTTAATTACTCTTGCCATTTATAATGCTTTTTTTGCTGACACAGATTTCGGTTAATTTTATCCGAGGACAATCTCGTCTCAAATGTCCATACCGATACTGCCCACAGTTCCAGCATTTTTTAATGATTTGTTATGGACGATCATATGTGGCTCTTCTTTCTTTGGATGTTCATTTGCATCATTCATTATCGTTATTATATCAGAATCCATGGAACGCTTCAAATTCTGTAAACCTGAATCTAGTTTGATCTCCAGTGCGTATTGGGTTATTTCTTGTGAGGCCACTGTATATTGTATTGTCAGCAGGTGGGTTATAATTTCACACCAAAGACAAAACAAGAGAGAAATAGAAATTCTTTTGGTCATTTGGATTCCAATCGATTCTTTTGTGTATTTTATCATCAGGTTTTTTCCTAGGTGAACTGCCGCCTCGCTACGAACCACAAAACTATCCAAGTCTACCCCAAAATTCTACGCAATATCTTCGTACGTACTTCATGAATGCTTTTATATAAAATAACAAGTACACTGAGGTAAAAAAAATGATAATGCATAGATTGTGTATGCATCATATCACATAGGTATTATTATTACGAATTTCTTAATATCGATAATAACAGCGATAACGATAATACCATTCATTTGTAGTGGATTTTTAGTTATTCCATAAGTACTTATAACGACTTCAGAGCAGTCTGAATATATTTTTACGAGGGGCGGCTGAAAAGTTTTGATCGTGCCACTTTATACTGTGTGCCGGGACAACCAATTATCACAAACCCTCAAAGTAGTTCCCTCTTACTTCTATGCATTTATAGTACTCCTTTTTTGGTATACAGAGAGACCTCCCTAAATGCAGCCTCTATAAATGCACACTCCTTAAATGCACGCTATGGCTTAGTTCAAAACTTATAAGGCCTCTAATTATTTATTCTCTATAAATGCACACCACTCTAAATGCACACAATCTTTTTTTTTTACATGTAACCTTTCCTCCACTCTAACCCTCACCCTAATCCAAACGACAAAATAGCCTTTAACGTTAGTTTTCCGTGATCATGTGAGCGTAGATTTTTGTTGGCGGCGCTTGGGAAATAATGAAGGTTCATTTATCACGTGAATATTAATTAATGCTAAATCAACTCGAAAATCCTATGGAAACCGTCACAGTATATTAAATAGACGTAATGCTATATATAGTTTTTCATATGCATTCTGTTCGCATTAAGTGTTCTGACCGCGTTACGTATGCAGTCCGATTACTGGCGCGTTCCGAGCAGAGGATTTTGAATTCCTTACGCATCCCTGAGATATAACCCATGGAATTCCTGACACGTTCGTGCTCGTCGCGCATGATTCTGCATAACGTGCGCGTCGCGTAAAATTCCGGACACGCTTTTCTCATAGGGATTACAAGAATCGACAATTTATTCCAAGTCCAATATTTTGAATGACATACAGAAAGAGGTAATCGTATACACATTAAAAATCGTTATAACGATAACGGACTATATTTCGAAACAAGCTATAAATAGCATTCTATAAATTTGTCTGTTATAGCGGAACCGTCGATTACCGGACAATATGGCAAGAATGCGAGGTCCGTTATATCGATTTTCACTGTGTATCGATATTAAGAGCATTGTTATGCTATTTGGTAAATTAATAACGATAACAATGATTGATAATACATGTATTAAGAAACTTGAAACAATCATTACTCAATAACTGAAAAAATGACTTGAATTCTCACTCAAACTGATTTCTCAAGACTATGAAAACTTGTAATAACAATAACGATAATTACTGATTCAGTCCATTCAGCAATAAATCAATTCTAATCCAGATCGTATGATAATTGGTATATATATATACATAAACTAACGCTAAGCGACTCACAGATTTCCGAAACTTACATAGTACAGTACATGTAAAATGCTATATTCACTACCGCTACGTATTCTTAATTGGTTCTAGTTTATACATGTAGATAGAGGTAAAAAGACCAATTGTATTGTAATAAAAATTTTGCACAACTGGTTTTTGCCACTTTTATAACTCGGGATCTACATGTATAAACTAAATCTTTATATGTTGGGTAACGGTAATACACGACACGAAAAATCTGCAGTACTTAATTTTGTTGATCTACTGTGGTGAAACACTTTTAATGCCGTGAAACAGAATACGGTAAATTGATTATCTTGAATTTGAACTCATCATCATTTTATAAATGTAGGAAAATTTGAAGCGTCCGAGTATATGTACCGGTACATGCAGTGGACGGTTAATATCTGAAATAGCGATAACTTCCAATTCTCAAGTACATGTACGTACATGTATTGTACATTCGGGATGCATGAACGAATTGGGAAATAATAAAATGATCAGTTTGTTAGAATTTTATTTTTTATTAACGTTAAGGCAACTGATTCTTGTTTTTATTAAAGACTTGACCGATTCCATTCTTTAGATTTTTATGAGTAGACTCTTAGTCCCCAGTAACTTTCTTTCATTTCGAAAGTTGCTTTCACCTCATCTCGTTCGACACATTTCACCAAAAAATTATGTATGTGTATGCAGTCTAACAAATACATTTGATAAATGACAGAATATCGAAGCCGTAATAATCAGAGATGTCATTCGATTGTTCCACACTATCATTCATTCTTTCCTATTCTGTAATTTAGCAGTGACGGCAAATAACCTCGTATGAATTAATCAAGTCTGTATTTTCGTTCGCGTTTTAGAATAAAGTTACACGTAAGCATAATCATACACCTTTATTTGATAACGGTAATGATGTGGTGCTGATGATTTGCTAATCCGAGAGTGTAATCTCAGATATTGAGATTGAATTCGGATCGAATGACAAATGACACGAATCAAACATGCATATATACATACATACTGTATTTCAATGGTTTTGTGCTCGTTTCATTTACAAATATCGTTGCATTAATGAAAATCTCCTTTAAGGATACGTACAAAGCATTGAGAGATCACCACACACAGTTTGTTCCAATTCTATTGTTGTGTTCTTACTGTCGTTATATTCGAAATAAATAATAATATTAATAGTGGAAATTGAAAATTTTATTGATAAATAAAAAAAATATGGCCAATAAACTCTCTGCCGAAACTCTCTCAACAATTTTCGAATACTTAACAAAAGAGCAATTATTCCCAATCGCTTTCGTCAACAAATTGTGGTGTAACTCGGTGGTTCGAGTACTTTGGCGATCTCCGTTTCAATTTTATAATGAGCTGATCGATGATGAATACGAAGAAAACGAAAAAGACGAAGAAAAAATTAAAAAAGGAAGTGCTGTGATACGCACTTTGATGACTTTTCTTGGGGAAGACGATAAGAAATTGCTTGTCGAACAGGGACTCGAATTACCTCCGAAACCGGAAAAACCCACAGATTCTGCACTCGCATTTAATTATCCGTCATTCATCATTGTCTTTGAATACACCAATATCCTCTTATCGATCGAGGATTGGTTAGACACTTCGACGAAATTACAACATCAAAGTGATCAGTATAAAATCTTGCACGAGGAGATATTCAAAACATTGAGTAAATTAATTTTCGCGGAATCGCCGGGAATTGATGAATTAACTTGCACCACATCATACAAACTCGATCTATTTACTATTCCAAACGCGGTTAATTGTCTGTCGAAAATCACGAAATTCTCCGGCGATTTCATAAATATCTCAAAAGAGTTTTTCATTGCAGCGTCTCAGCATTGCGTCGGAATTAAACACCTTTCACTTCATCAATGTACAGACGACGAAGTCTTGACAGACTTTATTGTCAATCAACAAAAACTCGAGACGCTTGAAATTAAAGGAATCGATGAGCCATTGCCGGAGGTGATTGAGGTAATAAAGAGAAAAAGTTCGACATTGAAAAAATTGGTTATTGAAGAAGTGATCTCATTGTCGCCAACATTGCTTGTTGGCTTGGAAAATTTGGAAGAGTTTAGATTAAAACATTTCTATGATCCTACCAGCGAAGACATTCAAGAATTTTCAGAGACGATGGAAGGAATCGCAGAGACACGATTCAATAATTTGACATCTTTACATTTATTAATTGATGAAGCAGATCCGGAAATACTTGCGCGTATTTTAGAGAACACAGATATGAAATTGAAATCATTTACGTTGAGTTATTTGAAATTCGAAGGAGAATTAGACGCAAACGATTTATGGGAAGCGATCGCGGGATTTTGTCCGGTTTTGGAGAAACTTCATCTGGAAACATTTCAACTAAGCGAAGTACTCAACGGTCTTCCAACCATTTTCGGAGGATGTATTCTCCTACGAGCATTGACCATTTCAGAGCATAAGGAAGGCGAAGGTGAATACGGGCCATTTGATATTTCAGACGAATTTGCTATACTGGGACCTTTGGTTCCTCCCGCTTTACAAATTTTGGATTTAAGCCAAGCAGATGCTATTTGCACACCACAAGCTCTTGAAGAATTTCTCGAAGGATGTGTCGAGAGATTGAACAAGCCGTTATTGTTGAAATTGGATTCTCAGTATCTTGAGCCTACGCATTCTGATGTTCTGCATTTGTTCGGTGAAGAAGGATTTAACGAGAGTGGAAATGAAAATTCCAGAGAAAGGTTTGTAATTTTTTTTGCTATTATTAAGTTATTATTGTTACTGATTTTTTTTGATGTTTTTTTTATTTGTTATAGAATCTTCACCATTTTTCCGAGACCTAATTCGGATGCAGCAGATAATGAACAATAGATCTGTAATAAATATTACATGTATACGCCAATTGATAATATAGTAGACTCTACAACATGGGTGTTAAAAAAACATAACGATAATGATTTGCTCAAATAAATAAATTTTATTTTGTATTTCTTTGATGGAACGTGGACATCTGGAAACAGAGTAACTAAAAGAATATTCTGTCTTTGCTAATTTCAAAAGCAACGACATACAAAAAGTCGAAGAGTCGCTAAGAAATATACTTATATTTTTGGTTTGCCTCATTTTCTCATTTTCGAATAATATCATATTTTTGTTCCAAAAAGAACAATGTAATTATCCCCCGGATAAGGTACAGTATCTAATTTCTTGATTATCAAATACCACTGAGAATGCTAACGCTAACTATTTTTATGCTTTTTTTCATTACATGATTTTTTGTGACGAGAGAAACAAAACACTGGCGTTCATCGACACAGCTAGTTCAAGGAATTTCTATTCTATGAACACGAGTTCACGAGCCTAATTTTATTGTCTAAGCAATCGAGGTAAGTATCGCATTGCCTATTTTTACTGGATTTCGACACGACAAGAACGACAAGAACATATACATCTCGGTAAATTCAACTAAAGCATCCATATCTCAGCAAAAATGGGGCTGGGGCCCGAGCACAGGCGCCTTGATTGTTTATGCATAAAAATGATGTTTATTTGGGTGTAATCTCAATTTCTTAACTTGTAGCGCATTTTACTGACTATTGTGAATAAAGCTTACTTGCTAATACCAAAAACAAAGTGGAAGTTTGAAATTGTTGATTGTGCCCGATCTTTGTGAGAATTCCGATCAAAAATAAGAATATTACAAAAATAATGTTTTAGTGTTAGTGATTTCTCAAACTCGATCATATTTCATTATTATCTTTCAAAAATTTGTTAAACTGACACTCAAATTGTAATACAGGCAACACGGATATGTCGAATCAAACCTTCTTTAAAAGCATCTTGACTGAAACAAGCTGCTGTGTATTATCTTTCTATATTGTTCTTGGATCTGGAATAATAAACTTGCTTCTGCGTAAGATATGGATAGGTCACTCTTAAAATAGCAGAGGAGTAAGGTGCACGATGCGATGAAGAATGTCAGAATCAATTACTCATGTTAACAAAAGACAAATATTACATGTATATTAAGGAAAAAATAAAAATTCTTCAACGAAACGAAACGCTTTATTTTTAGAACCGGGGGATTCAATATTGATAATTTCCGTTTCAGAAGGAATCTAAATTATTAAGTAATATTTACTAAAAGATGTAATATTGATATAATTTAATACAATTGTTCATTCTTAATTGCATATATGCGAGAGCTATATTTTCAAGCGTAATATTGACAATTTCTTTTATGAAAATGATTTCCATTTTTGCGAATCGCGTCATAATCAGCCAGACAACTACGTACGTACGTACATGTACCAATTAAAGAAGAAATTAGAATAAATTCTACACGATGAAAAATATGGAAATACTGTAAATAAAAATACTCACAACCAACAAAATTCATATCTGCAACCAGGAGCGCGACACATCATATGATCACAACCGCCATCCTTTTCAATGTAAGCATTACACTTGGGACACATTTTTGTGATAGCAGCAATAAAAGCCTTAGTTTCCTCCTCCAACTTTTTCATTTGCTCTTTTTGTTGTTCCTCTAGTTCTTGTTGTCGTCGGCGTTCTTTACCCGTTTCATAAACTTCCGTTTCTTCGACCAGGTTACTCGCGACATCACGAATCATTGGTTCAAAGTGACTCTCAAAAAATTGTTGTTGTTCTTCCGTTAGTGTGATATCGAATTCTTTTAGTCTTCTGGATATGTGGTGGCGCACAATGTCTCTTGCGAGCTCGCGTGCTTCTGCTAGAGAGGCGCATTGTGGACAGTTTAGTGAGCCGACGGGAATTGGGCGTGAGTGTATGACGCATGATTTCTGGGAGCAGGATTGGCAGGTCATTATTGGTGCTGCATCTTTGAATAATAAATGCTTATATAAGTAAATAGAGAGTATTTTGTCATTAAAGAAATTTGGTGCGATGATTCAATATAATACTTACCTCCTTCATAGTGAATTTGACCAGAATCACATTGGGGATTCGAGCACCAACGAAAATCTGACATTTGTGAAAGCGCCGAAACAAGCGAAAGTTTCTGATACCTTGTCAATTCAAACAATTTGTTATGAATGAAATATTCAATTTCAAAATCCGACAGAATAATCGAAATTTAGATACCTTTTAAAAACTTGTTCATCGGAAAATCGGTTAATACCCTCTTCGGTTATAACATTACGACAATTTTCATCTGGGCATCTAATCTCGAAATTTCCATTATCCTGGACTTCATGTTCAATATGCCTCGAAATACAATCTCGACAAATAATATTAGCATGTGTACAATTGTTTGTTGGTCGAATAAATTGTGTCTCATCAACCGTTTCTGTACACACGATGCATTCTTTCCGTGTCGACAACAAATGTATTGAAGTTTGGGAGAGGTTGGTGGGGCGTCGATTTGCTATTTGTGTGCTTGATGATGAAAACGACGAAGAAGACGAAGGAGTGTGTGTCTTTGACTGTCTGAAAAAGCTTCTTAATGAGAATAAAGTTGACGAGTTTTTTGGTGGTCGACGATTTAATGAAGTTGCATTATTATTAGTATTGCTTTGTGTATTATTATTGTTGGTGTTAATTGGAGGCGGAACTGGTGTATAATAGTTATTTGGTGCAGAATAAATCGCTTCATATGGTGGAGGAGGCAGTTCAAAATTATCAGAATCGTTGTAGTAATTATTTTCTTCTGTATTTCCTCTTGAGTGATTATTATTGAACATGTTTTTCGTCTTCAATATAACGAAAACAATACCGATACCATATTTATCGGTGGCTGACGGAACCAAATTGAGCAATACAAATATCGATATGTTGTAATGTAACACCAAAACTATTCCACATGGAACATAGAATTTACTACGTACCAGTAACGAGCCATCCAATTAGAATATAGTTCCATCAAGTAGGAATATATCACGGGTCTTTATCTACCCACTCATAACACATACAAACTACATGTCTTGCTTGATACAAAACACACTCGTTTTCCCGATTCCTCTGTCTTGGACACTGGCCACTCGCATGCGTTTTGAGTTTCAGATCCGCCGGGCACGCCGTCTTTTCATCTCCAAATCCACAGAGGGTCGAAATCGATTTTATTGATTCGGGTCTAATTTTAATCTTTCTATAGGAATTTCGCAAATTGATCAAATCAAAGCAACTTTCTTGTACGACGACGGGGATTCGTTCCTGGGCATGCCGCATGGAATATCGCTTTCGAGTTGGTGCTCTGGTCATCCATGATAGAGATTGTTGAGGGTGAGGTATAGACGGACGAATAAGCACTGATGCCCCATTTGGTTTTTATGAAGAACTACTCCTTTGGGACTGGGCCGATTGCGGTTAGTTGGTGATGGCCGGAAAGTTTGTCAAATTTCATACGGAGATGTGGGGAATATCAGAATAAAAGTGGAGAACAGTCCTGCAATTCTGAGCACGAATGGTGATCATATGCGCGGAAGAAGAGTTGATGTTAGATGAGCTGCAACGCCTTGTGATTTCAATTAAACTTGGATTGCCTTATCAAAAGCACTGCAGACATAAAAGATCACGTTCCATTGTTTATACATTTACTGAAATCCGAAAGATTCGCAGATTCCTGGACACAACCATATATATCATAGTCTATGCGAGCCGCAGTAACAATTTAAATTGATTCTTTTATAAACCATTATTTTCACCTAACACACGCTTCTTTTTGTTATTGTTCTGTTTTGCGTCTACTCTTGATGAAAACCTTGATTGTATGGATGGTTGATGTGTTAACCTATTCTTGTGTTGTTGAAATAGTGATCAATATGACTGAGTCGGAAATTTTCCTTATCTAGAATACATGATAAAGTTTACCAAATTTAGAGAATCGACTTGCGCCGCATTGAAAATTGAGCCAGCTAGCCGGCTATTTGCCGACGCATCTCAGTCAGCTTGGATCACTGAAATGATAAAGTCAATTCTCAACGTTAGATCTGCACGGAGTAATATTTCCGGCCATTATGTAATATATATAAAGACTATATAGCGCTAGTCATTCATTACCGATAATGAATGAAAAAATGATGAATGAAAAAATACAAAATGAAAATACGACCATAATGCAAGAGAAGTTTCTAAATACACTAATAGCTACAAAAGAGCTACCAAAAATTTTCTATGATGCAATCAACAGCGGCATCAAACCGCCAACAATCATCGAAATTATTCGTAAACATCTCAGACCACAAAAACTTGATGATCTGGTTCTCTTTTTGGAGAAAAGACAATCAAGATCCTCCGCTGAGAACTTAATACTGGGATTTATATACGAACAAGAACTTGCCAAAACGCACGATCGAAACCTGCAGCGTGGTCTCGCTTATTCGAAATTTAAAGAGTTAGCAAATCAAGGCGATTCATACGGTCAGTTCTTTTTGGCAGTAATGTACTATCGCGATATTGGATCGAATTCGAATCTTTTCCCTCGCGCTTTGGAGCTGTTGGTTAATTCGGCGACTCAGGGGAATTCTTGTGCCAATTTCATGTTGGGACAGCATTTTGAGTTCGGACAAAGTGGAAGCAAATTCAATGCTTTTTTGGTGTACCAGAAAGCTGCTGAAATTGGACATATATTGGCAATCAATTCTTTGGCGAGATTTTTGTTTCTCGGAGTGGGTGCCAATCGCGATGTTCATAAATCTTTGAAATGGTATCGAAAAGGCGTGTCGCAAAAAAATGGAGAAAGCCGAAAAAAGATTAATGAAATATTTCGTCGTTAAAGGAAATTCTAACAATCAGTAATTGGGACATTTGTCAATTCGTAATTTGAAATATAGATTCCATTCCCATTTCAATACCGGTTAATGATATCGATATGGATAAGCAATAAAATTTGATTCATGCACTCTCCTAAAAGATAAATGACAGATATTAGCTAATATTTTTTACCCACCCCTCATGAGATATGGTAGAAGCGTGATATTTATGATTCTAATCATGTGAGATGTTCAAGCAACATGATGTTTGTGATATACGTATGTATGTTTCAATTTGGTTATAATCATGTACATGTACATGTATAATCTTCATAGATATTGTATATATCATACGATTTATAAATACGTAAACACATATAACCTCCCCTAAATATTAGCTAATATCCGTCACTTCCCTTACCGATAAAGTGCGTACCACTCCGAATAAATCACTTGGCTTATATGGTACAAGTAAAAATGTGACACCCTGAACAGAATATGCCTGTCCATAAAAGTTGTATTAGAACCAATTTTATGAATTAGGAAATGAATCTAAAATTTAATCCATAGCGATAACGATAACGATAACTGATTAAAGTTTTGGATTTACTTCCTAATTAGGACGTTATAGAACTTAAAACATACAATTGGTTTTGCTCTGACTGGCGAAGATAAAAATCAAATTACTATTTCTAATTTGATTAATCATAATTATAAATATAGTAGCCAAAAGTCGCAATAGTCACTGACGCAAACATTACGTAACAGTGCGAGAACTTGCACGAAAAAATGCACGTGTATTTGCAGGGAGCAGGAAATTAGAAGCCGACGTGCTGAAGCAGTGAATCAAATTATCTCGGAAACTGGAATTCAAAATTGAAGTGTTTCATGTGGATTTCGAAGGGTTTGGAAAGCGGTGAGAAAATTCTGAAGCGAAATTTACCGCTGTGTTTTAGAAATTGTTATTAGTTCCATTTTAATGTATGGCGAATAATGCTGGAATTATAGTTCAAGTAAATGTTCAAAGCGATTCTAAGTAAAGTTATAAACCATAATTAGAACTACAAATTGGCAAGATAGTTGATAGTAATGCTGAATATTCAGGAATTATATAGATTTACAAATCATTTATTAAACATTTATTTTTCAATAGAAGTATAATTCTAAACAAAATTGTAGCTGGAAATAAGAGCTACAGAATAGTATGAAATTAATAATGAATATTCAGGAAGTTATATATCATTTAGAATAAAGTTCTATAAATATAAAAATGAAGATATTTTAATTGTCTCTAAGTAAACTTTTGATTCTTAATAAATTATACTTATAAGTAAAGTTGTTGCCTAAATTCGGAGTTATGCTAATCTCAAATCCAACTCGAACTTGTACACTGATTTGGTTCGAGTTTGGTTCAATCTTTGAATCTCAGTTTGAACTTCGAACCAGACTTGAATTCAGGCAAAAGTCCAAGTTCAGTTCAGTTCATTGGAACATTACCATTAAAGATTGCATCTTAATTAATGCATTTTATTAATTTCAGGAGTACTTGACTTTTACATTAATTATTTTTCAAATGCAACCTTTTCATATAATATAGCAATAGCTTTTTCACGAGTTGTTGTTAAAACAAACTTGAGCTTTTCTAAAACGAAGATCCAAAATTGTAACCATTAAACCAATCTCACTTGATACACCGAATATTGAGACATAGATAAATGTATTTAGTAGTTAAACCAATCGTTAAATCCTCAGTTAGCTTATTAATATTTGGGAAATATTATTCACAATCTTCATTTCCTGCTAAGTGCAGCAATGAATTGATACTTAAAATAAATAATCACAAATCATTGATGTTTAATAATTTTAATGTATCATCAACATGAACAGAGCATAACTAAAGGTTATGTTTTTTGTAACTTCCAGATTTATATTTAATGTTTCATTTTTATTTACTATTAAGCATAGTATGTTTTTAATGCATGTATAAAGTTTGTTATATTCTTATCGGTTTGTTTAAACCATGGTTTGAGCTTGAACCAAAATTATTTGGTCTGAGAATACCAAACCAGCTCAAACCATGGGTTGAACCAAATATCAAATTATCGTTATGATTTGAAAAGTGTAAATTAAAAATTTCATGATGACGATCATGATAATAATTACGTAAGTGTGTTAACGTTAGTATTAGCGTTAGGGTTAAAGGTAGAATTAGAATGAGACATAATTTATAGGTAAAATGTCTTCCCTGACGTTTTTGATTAGTGCTTCGAGTTAGCTATTTCCCGCATTTTTCATTTTCCGGTATCAGAAACAAATTAGTCTCAGTCGGAAATATGTTACCGTTACCAACAAACGAACGAGCAATGTACAATGTGCTTCACTCAAAAATTAATAAAGAACCGAGGCAATTTTTGTGATAAATCCGTCGAGTATGCCAAATTGTGATTTACGTATATAAAAAGAAATGCATTGGAAAATGAAAGATACATACGTATTTTCGCGCATATCGATATCGATATCAATCAATTTTCTAAAAACGGAAATTAAGAAGTTGATAATGACATAAAAGTCTTTCGTACACCGAACCGATTGTGTAAATTTAATCTTCAAAAACTTAAAATGCACAGCTTGCGTGAAGTATGGGAACAATTGACCGATGACGATCAAAAGAATAAAGTACCATATTCACCAGATTTTTATCCAGGTACATATTTGCTGTTTTACAGGAATTTCACATTGTACATGTAATTGAAGTAAAGTTTTTGAAATATTTTTTAGGTGGAAATTATATTGATCTTCTTCCTCATGGTGAAACTCGGTATTGGCTATTTGGTCCTGAGACAGGACAAAAAGTAATACAATATTTTAATAGTTTTTTTTATTAGCGCATTTAAATAACAAATTTATTGGGTTTTAATAAATAGATCGTGTTTGTGCATGGTATGTTTAAATTTTTAGGATTTATTCTATTCTGGTACATGTATATTTAATATAGTAATTTTTTTTGAACAGGAATTTCTATCCCCTCAACTATTTTCAAAGAAATTGCGACATACTTTGCTAAAAAAGAATTTCGTGTCTTAATTTATGGTAAAATATAACAAATTTTCTATGTTATTAAATAAAGATAACTTTTTATTTTTTTTAATTAGACTTATACGGAAGAGGATACAGCGCCAGCCCTAAATGTGATTACAACAAAACATTATTCATCGAACAACTTTTAAATCTTTTAGATAAAGTTGGTTTTGATAAAACGAATGTTGTTGGATTGTCAATGGTAAAAGAAAACTGATAGATGCAAGCAAATTTGAAGTTAACATGAATAATGAGATTTATTGTTGCTATAGGGTGGTGCAATTTCAGTCTTGTTTGCACAAAAATATCCAGAAAAAGTGGAGAATTTGGCGTTGATTGCTCCTGCTGGATTATTGGAACCTATGGATATTCCCTTTGTTGGGAGGATTCTTACTTTTCCTGGTGTCTCGAAAATGATTCATAATCCGATGACGAGGGTATATTTGAATTTGTTTCTTCGATTTTTTATAATTCTAATCAATTCCTTTTTCAACGCTAACATAGCCGCTCATCGAAAGATCAATAATCAATCGACTCAACAAAGAAAACAAAAAATCAGTACTTGCCGACGAGATTGAAAACATCGTAATGTATCAATTGCACAAACATGCAGGATTCGTTGATAGTTATATTTCAACAATCAAACATTTTCCACTTCACGGGCTTGAGGAAGCCTATAAAGAGGTTGGAATGCAGCAGAGAGACGAAGTATTGGTTGTTTGGGTATATTATATCTTTGATATTTAAAATAAATGTGTGTTTATTTTAATTGTACGAATTCGAAAGTTAACTAGTTTCTCGGAATCTAGGGATCTGATGACGAGACAGTACCATATCGTCTCTGCAAATGTCTACAACAATACATTCCTCAGGCTCGTGTTATTACTATTCCGAATGGAACGCATGGGCTTACAGTGACTCATCCAGAAATTTTATCCACGCATTTATACGAGTTTTTTTCAAGATAAAAGTTTGCCTTTAATGAATTTAAGATACGATAATTTGGCATTGTCAATTCGTCACTTTTTACATGTATTCGAGATTACAAGTATTAATTGCTCAGTTTCATAATTTTAGCGTTAGTGAGAACTCTTCTAATAAATCAATACAAACGTTGAAAGAACGTCGTCGGATTATTATGCTAAAATTTATTTTATTCATATTCATCTAGAATTTAACTCTTATGTGTATTTAGCATTATTTTTGATTGCTATTATAAGTTATATTTTAATATATATTTTTTCTGGACTTTTTAGATTTAATTTGACAAAGTTGTTTTAATTGCAAAGTTATTGTAAAATTTTTTTATAATTAAAATATAAATCCAGAAATAATATATATATTTTATTAATAAAATTATTAATTTCATAATTTTGTTAGTAGGGCTCCGAAAAGCTCAGCTCATTGGCTCACATATGACTCTCATACATATAATTTAATTAATAGAGTTTAAACCCATATTATTAAATTACATATAAAATTTAGGCTTGAGTGGCTTGAGGCTTGGCTCGTTAGGAGCCTTATTTTTACCAAAAATTAAAATATGTTGTTTAATTATATATTATATAATAGTTATTTTCACTTTTTTAATAATTATAAAAAATAAAATTACAGAATTGAATAAAAAATTAATCAAATATTTTGAGCAATTGTAAATCAAAATTACAAATTTTATATTATATTAATTAAAAATATGCTATATTTTTATTTTAGTTTAATAAAGAAGAAATTAATCTTATAAAAATTAGAAATAAAATATATAAAAATAAGCTAAATAAATTTTAGTTAGCAAATTTGCTTGTTGAACAGTTTAAAAAATAAAGCTAATTGATATAATATTATTAAAAATTTCAATTTATTAATTTTAAGATCAAATTTTACAAAATATTAATATACTTTATAATATTAAGTAATTTTGTTTCTAATATTTTAAAAATATATTTACAAATTTTTATTTATGACTTTTGAAAAATTTTTCATTAAATATTATTATATTATAATATAAAAATTATTAATTTTATAATTTATAATAAATTATAATATTATAAAAATTATATAAGTATGATTTAGTATAAAAATATTAATATATCACTTTGCTAGTAATAAAAAAATTTTTTTATTATATATAGTACCAAAAATCTATAATTATCAATTATATAATATAAAATAAGAATTTTTGAAATATAATTTTACTTTACATAAAGATAATTTCAAAAAAATAAACTAATAACTTTATAATTTGAGATATATTCTATAAAATCATCAGTTTATTTTTTGAAATTATCTTTATGTAAAGTAGAGTAGTATTTTAAAGATTTTTATTTTTTATTATATAATTGATAATTATAAATTTTCAATATCATAACAAAAATAAAAAATTTTATTAATTAATAACTTTTTGAATTTAATTATTTTGATTTTTTATATAATAATTTATAATTATTTTTTATAAATTTTATATAGTAAAAAATCAAATTTTTACATTTTGAAGCTTATTTTTTTAATAATTAATAATTAAATTTTGCTAAAATTTAAAATATATATTTATTATATACAATTAAATTTCTTTATAATTACTTCTTTTAAAAAAGCAAAATTTGGTAATTATAAAGAGAATGTGACTATAAAGAGATTTTTTATTATATTTACAGTAATAATCAAAAAGAATGAAATGCTAAAATAAATTTATTAATAAAACATAGTAAAAATATGAAAAATACGAGTTTTTCTCTTTATATAAAAGTTTTCAATTTTACTAATAAATATTTTTTATTTTTATATTAAAATAAAGATAATA